TTTCACACCATCCCTCCTGGCCTAGGACTCAGTGAGTGCTTAATAGGCGTTTGTTGAATTAAACCAAAAGGAAGCAGCAGCTTAAGAGCCAAATGTGTTTTTTTCTCTCTCGTTCCTACTGCACTCCCACCTTTATCTAAATGACGACCTCTAGAAAGGATTCCTGGCAATGGAGGGGTAAGGCTGGATGGCCTAGGGGAGCCCTCCCAGAGCTGAGAGACTGTGACTCTGCTTTGACCTGACTTGTGAATGGAATAACTGGGTCATTATGGGTGCATCCAAGACTCACAGGACTCAATTCCCTTAAAGCGCTCTCATTTCCCCCTTCCTTGAAGAACAGCCGGCTTGGGTGGGCACATGGGTAAAGAGCAAAAGGAAGCTATGGAGGGTATCTTCCTTGTTTGACCTTGGAGGCCAGAAGAATAGACGGGGTTAGCAAATGAGATTGTATTGTAATGTGCTTAGCACAGTGCCTGGAATACAGTAGGTGCTTAATAAATGTTTAGTCCCTCCTACTTCCACACCCAAGCAAGAGATATGTGGCATTATCATTTTAAAAAATAATGCTTTATTGATATCTTTTGTTTTTCCATTATCTATACTTCCTAATATATTCCTCTCCTCTTTTCTTTGCCTCTCAGAGAGCCATTCCTTATTACAAAGAATAAATAATGGGGGGAAAGCAGTTTGGTGAAAGTAACCAACATATCAGAAAAGTTATTACCACCACCACCACCTTCTTCTTCTCTTCCTCCTCCTCCTCCTTCTCCTGCTCCTCTTTTCCTCCTCCTCCTCCTCCTCCTTCTTCTTCTCTTCCTCCTCCTCCATCATCATCATCACCCATCATCTAAAAACCAAGAAACTTCTTTATTCCCCTTTTTAATCAACCAAGAGAGGGAACATTGGTGGATAGGGTGCCTATGTCTAAGTCAAGAAGACCTGGGTTTAGGTCTTGCCTCTGATGCATCTTGAGTGTGTGACCCTGGGGAAGTCACCTAACTCCTCACTGTTCCAGGCAACTTTCCAAGACCGTAAGGCACGGAGAAGGTGCCACTCTGCTGTGGTGGAGGGGTCTTCTCAAATGGGAGTTCCCCAAATCAATGACATCACAGGCCCAGTCCCTATCCCCAACCAATCAAAAATCCAACTGGATCAAATATGAATTAAGTAGTAGGAGGGAGTGAGAAGTGGGGAATTATAGGTGAAATGAGTGAAGGAGGAGCGCTGGAGATGCCTGTCCACCTGTGACCCCTTCAGCGGAAGACTGCTTTTCTTGGGTCTTGTGGGCCCTAAGGGAGTTCCCCGTGACCTCAGGACAACCCTGCTCTCTGCAGTTGCCTCACAGTAAATGAAATGATCCCTTCTTGCTGCAAACAGGCCAGTCAATAACCATTTTCATCCCCCGGCAGCCCGCAGGAGTGGATTTACAGCTGAGTGGTAAGAATAAGACGGAATGATCAATGGATCCCCAGACGGGCTCCTCCAGGAGACACAAATGTATATTGTAACAAAACTTTATTTTCTTCTGAAAATTGCCTGCATGATTAATATGACCTGACATCACCTAAGATGTTCAGCATAAAAAACAGCCATATTTCTCCCTCTCTCCTGCTTCCTTGCTCACTTTCCATTTTGCTCTCGAATGGGTTCTCCAATATACTTTGCAATTTCACACCTGGGGAAAAAGTATTTGTTAAAAGTGGATGGCCCTGCATTTCCATTCCAATTTATTTCTTCCCTGAGTTTCTTACTTGGTGTTGACTAAGTGTGAAATAAAATTTAAAAATTTTTTAAAGAAACTTCTCACTTGCAGTTTTGACAGAGGACCCAGGACTCCAGAATCCCTGGGATCTGGCACCTAACTACGCACCCAACCCCTTCCCTTGTCCTTTGGTAAAAGGAGGCATCCAGCCTTATAGCCCTAGGATACCAATTAGCTGGGAGAGAATCAGGGAAGTGGCCAGCCCTGCTACTTCTTCCTTAGACCCTCACAGTGTCAGGTTGGGCAAAGCAAATGGGTCACGGGAGAAGCACAAACCCAGGTGCACTAGCCTTGAATCACCATCTCTCACTCAGATGATAAGATCTCTTCCTAACCAGTCTCCTACATCCATTCTCTCTTGTCTCCAGTCCATCTTCCAAACTGATATTCCTAAAGCACACTTCTCCATTCAAGATGCTTCAAAGACTCTTCGTTGCCTGTAGAATAAAATATGGACCCCTCTGATTAGCGGGTAAAGCCCTTCTCAATATGGAGCCACCTGTCTTTCTAGGTAGATTACATTTTACTTCCTCTCAAACCCCCAGTACTCCAGCCAAACTGTCTGACTTGCACTCACTCCTATAAGTAAGGTGACATTCCTTCTTCCACAAGAATGACTTTGCCCAGGTTATCCTTGGAATTCCTAGCTCTCTCCAGGACTTGCATGGTCTACCATCTTTATGAGGCCTTTCCCGAATTCCCAAGTTGCTAGTACCTGCACTGCCAAATTGTTACATGTTTATTTAGTATATGTATGTGTGTGTGTGTGTTTTATGTATCTATTTCTTTCTATCTATCTATCTATCTATCTATCTATCTATCTATCTATCTATCTATCTATCTATCTATCTTATCTATCTATCTATCTATCTATCTATCTATCTATCTATCTATCTATCTATCTGACCAGATATATCCCCTTGGTGGAAAGCAAGCTACTTGAAGGTAAGAAATGGCTTATTTTTTATTTCTGTCTGCAGTCCCTGCACTGAGTAGGCACTTAAGAAAGTCTTGGAAACCAAACTGCTTAGTGTTAGATCTTGTTAAATAACACGGTTGTGCTGGGACCGTGCAAGGCTGGCATGTTTGCCATCTCCTGCTCTCCTTAGCTCTGGTGTTTTGGGCCCCATCTAGTACCAGGCTGGCTCAGGGCACTTGTCTAAGGGCCCCTCTCTGGTGTGTACCCAAAATAGTGTGGAATACATTAGATTGTGAGCCCTCAAGGGTGAGGACTGACCTGCTTCTCTTTGCATGCCCAGTCCTTAAGAGATAGGTTGTGACCAGATTCAAGTATGGTTCCTTTGATTCCCTATCTGGTGGTCTTTCACTCCAAGTGTGGAATGTGCCTGGAAGAGCTAAAGGTATGGAAGGACTAGAACAGAAAGCCCAGCTGAGAAGTTATTGGACTTTTGGCATGTGATAAGGGACCAGACCTTGATGGCAGCCACAGAAATGGTGGCTGATGGCAGGTAGAGGGTGTGTGAGAGGAAGAAGTCTTAAGACTGGATGATTACAAGATGGATGATACCAATTCCCAGAGAGGGAAGTCATAGGGGAAGCTGGTCTGGGGGCAGCAGTGGTGAAGTTGAGGTTCCAGTCTGTTGAAGGGACTGCCTGAGATTCACATGTGTCTGGATGCCTGTGCAGCAAAGCGGGTCAGGACAGAAGCAGCTGTAAGACTGATGTTCCATCCTCCGACGGCGGGGTTTGTTCCCATCGAAGCTAGTTGGAGGGAGCCCTGGGAGACAGCAGAATTAGGAAAGCCTTGGCTGGAGAATTTGAAGTGGGGCATCGTTAGGAGTGGCTCCCACTTTTTAACGAAGGAAGCTGAGATCTGGGGAGGGGTGGAGGGTGAACAAATCTATTTTGCCCGGTACCTGATCTCATTGCCATGGGTACCCCAACCAACACCCCAGTATACAAAGCTTTGGACATGTTATCTAGAGCAGTAGATTCGGCATCTTACTTGCAAAGTAGCTTCAGTCTCGAAAGTGTAATGGACTCAGAGGTTTCTAAGATAAAGGGGGGCCTTTCAGAGAAAGGACATTTAAGAGTTCACTGCTACGTGGGAATTCAGTGATGGGAACTGTTTCTCAAGGAAGTGCAGTCTCAAGCCAACCATGAATTCGTTTAATGTGTAATGAAATCAGACTTTTTTCCCCCTTGGATTTCCAGTCTATATGTGTTGGGGAGCTATGTGTGAGTTTTCTAATACACAGTCACATTGAGGTCATTCCCATAACTTTTGCAGAGAGACAGACTTAGACAAGATCAGAGGTCAGTGGTTCCTAGCTCTGGAGATAGAAAGGATCTCAGCGGCTTTCTATTTTATAAAACCTCATTTTACAGATGGGGAAACTGAGGTTTAGAGAAACTAAGTAATTTGCCCTAGGTCAATTGGATAATATGGATCAGAGGCAGGATTTGAACCCAGGTTCTCTGACTTTAGAGCCAGTGTTCTTTCCACCGCATCATACCTGAATTTATTTCATGTATATTTGTTCTTTGTATTTGTCTATTTCTATGGCACCTCTGGATAGTTTACAAGCTCCTTAATAATAACTAACATTATATATCACTTTAAATTTGCAAATTGATTTACAAATATTGTCTGATTCGATCCTCACAAGAAGCCTGTGAGGTAGGTGCTATTAGTATGCCCATTTTACAAATGAGAATACTGAGGCTGAGAGAAGTTAAAAGCCTTGCTCATTGGTATTCAGCTAGTCAAGTGTCTGAGGCAGAATTTGAGGGTTTTTTTTTAACACCAAGTCCAGCACTCTATCCACGATGCCTCCTACTACTCAAGAATAGGAAATGTTTCATTTGCTATATTTGTATCCCAACCTCCAAACTGTGGTGCCTGGCACATAGTAGGTACTTTTAAAATGTTTATTGATTGATTGATATATACCTGTTTATGTTGTATCTCCTGGGTACAATGTAAGCTCTCTGAAAACAAGACTGGTTTTAATTTGTCTTTATATCCCTAGCATTTGGCACAGTGACTGGCATATAGCAGGTACTTAATAAATGCTCATTGATTAATATAGCAGGCACTTAACAAATGCTCATTGATTGATTTAGCAGGTGCTTAATAAATGCTCATTTAGAGTTTGATGTTTGTATCGCGTGTTGCTCAGTTGTATGGATTTAGCTAGAGTTCTTCTTGTGCCTCGTCCCAATCCTGTTGGGCCTTCATCTTAACTTCTCTTTTGCTTTGGCCTCTTCCCTCCAGGTGTAAGGAGCTGAAATACTCCAAGGATCTGCCCCAGATTTCCATCATATTTATCTTTGTGAATGAGGCCCTGTCAGTGATCCTGCGGTCCGTCCACAGCGCCGTTAACCACACACCAGCCCATCTGCTGAAAGAGATTATCCTGGTGGATGACAATAGTGATGAAGGTGAGTGATGCTGGGGAAGTCAGGTGGCATTCTCTGGGAAGGATGGGATGTGAGCAGGGCATAAAAGTCACTCTCAGTAGCCACACACACACACACACACACACACACACACACACACACACACAGAGAAGGGGAGAGAGAATTTTTTTTCAGAGTTTTTCGCCATCATTTTTCTCTGCTCATCCCTGGAGGTGCCCATGGAGTAGGGTAGACTTCCATCTCAATGGAAGTCCTCACTACTTCTCTGTCCCCTAAACCTCCAGGGCTTTTAGGAAGAGAATTCCAAGCTATATATTGAGATTAATTTCCCCTTTGCACGCCACCTCAAACAGATGAAGCTAAGAATTTGGATTTCCTCCCAATTTTCATCTTCCCAGAGTCCAAGAGAAGGAGGTCTTAGTAAATGAGCACATTCACACTTGCCACTGAAGACTATTTAAAAACTCCTCAAACCCTCAACTCCACCCCAGCCCCCTCTGTCTTAGCAGATGGCGTCCCCTGCTACTTCACCGAGAAGACTGAGGCCATTCCGGATGATCTCCCTTAGTTCCCATCTGCCTCCCCTCAAAAACTGTCTGTGTCTCCTCCCATCTCATTCTTCCTTCCTGTATTCAGTGAGGATGAGATGGCCTCCATATTTACCGTGGCTAACCTTTCCACTTGTATCCTTGATCCCATCATCTCTTATCTCCTCTAAGACCTGGATCCATTTTGTCTCATCTTTGGTCTCTTTCTTTCTACTGGCTCTTTCCTGTCTACTTGCAAATGTGCCCAGCTCTCTCCTCTCCTAAACACCCACCCTCCCACACACCAACTCCTCCCCCACTGAAAAAAAGACTCTTTCCCTAGATCCGGCTATTCCCGAGAATGGATGCCTTATTTCTTTCCTCTTCTTCAGTGCTAAACCCATGGCATTTCCTATCTCTGCATCTGGAGTAGAACATTTGGCCTAAAATTCTAGCTATGATTCTTAACTCCCCGTGAGATCTTGGGTGCATCACTTGCCCTCTGGGACTTGGGTGCTAGTCTGTGAGATGAGAAGATTGGCCTACATAGCCTATGAATGTTTCTCCAGCTCTGTCTATGAGTTTGTTCCACTCTACGACTCCCCTTTGTCACCTTTCTCCAATTTCATCCTGCCTTCTCAAGCCCATGCCTTCATAAAGACCATTCGCCATGCTTGCAACCGAGGCTTTTCCACCAGTTCCACCAATGAACCACTGTTAGTGTCTCCCTCACTTGTATAGATAGAGAGATGACAGAGATAACATATATATTCATAGGAATGTACATATTTACATGTATATATGCCTCACATGGGTGTATATATGCCACAAATGTATATATAATTATATATACATATCACATATAATCTCATATGTAATCTCACATACATATAATCTCTTATTTATCTCACACACAGACACACACATATGTACATACACATATGTATTATATATAATACAACATTTATCATCTATCTACAAAGTGAATATAAGGTGATTTCAAGTGGGGGAAACAGGCAGCTGGAGGGGAATCAGGAGAAGTCTTCTGTAGCCACTTATTTTATAGACATATAAATATGTGTTTACATGTTGTCTCTCCCTATAGAATACAAGCCCTTTGAGGGCAGAGATAGTTTTATTTTTGTCTTTGTGTTCCCCATGGCCAATGCCCTATCTGGTCCCAGTTTGGGCCTTGATTGGCTTAGAATGAATGTAAATAACAATTCTTTCTGTTTTGGCCAGAAGCCCTTCGGATCTTTCCCTCCAAGATCTATTTTTTTTTTAAAAGATGTGATTCTTGCCTCATGTTTTTGTTAAGCCTGAATCACTGAATGCATGTTGCCTCAGTTAGACTGAGACCTGTGAAAGACCTTAGCTTGAAAAGGCCAAGGTCCCCCACTGTATCCTGGGCCATCTCCAGTCGTCCTGATGAATTTCTGGCCACTGGACCCAGATGGCTCTGGAGGAGAAAGTGAGGCTGCTGACTTTGCGCAGCCCTGCCTCACTTAAATCCAAGTCACTTGAATGTCATGACATCACCTTCCTTGGCATCGTGGTCCTCTTCTAGGACAGAGGACAAACATCAGCAGCTGCAGCCTGGTATACAGTAGGTGCTTAATAAGTGCTTATTGCATGATGAGTCAATTGTATAAGATGTCACTTGGCCTAGGCTTTGGAGGATATTGGGGATTCTGGATGAGATATAAAAGGTAGCAAGTAGCTTGCTGATTGTCACAAAGTTAGTGAAAGCCAGTGGTGGGATCTAATCACCTACCTGACTCCAGGCCACCATTCCACGTGCATAGTAAGAGTCCAATTGATGTTTGTTGAATTGAATCCATACAGAGCATGGATCAAAATTCCCCTCCACCCAGCCACCAGGGGCAAACATAGGTGGGTAGTAGAGAGCCAGATCTGCAGTCATTTTTGAGCTCAACTGTGTAGGAAAAGAGGGCTTAATAAAAGGCAGATCTCCAAACACGGTAAAGGAGCCTCTCTCAGCGTCTCAGAGGGACGGCAATAGATAAAGTCTCGGTATTGTGCAGAGCTTCTGTTGGCTACTATTAAAGATGTTCATGGTGTTGGCTTGTATCCCATAAAGTTTTACCATATCCCCTGGATAAAGAGACCCCCTCCCCCTCAGCCTAGGACATAAAAGAAGGCCTGGGTGTATTGCTTTTTTATAGCTTATGAGCCCTGACTTCTCTGGAGCAGTAGGATTAAGATGGCACTAAACCTGGTTCATCTCTGCATTCGGGGTGATGCTCTCCCCTCTTAAACCTAGCTCCAAGGTCTGGAGAAAGCTGTGGAAGGGCCTGGGGCACCGCCAACAATCCCATTAAAAAAGGTGAACTGTTTTGTACCACAAACAGCAGCCAGCACCTCGGAAACCCAGGCTGAGTGTTTCCATATTTCATCCGCCCAGAAGATGCCAGGCTCTGTCTTTCCCCACCCTCTCTCCTGCTTGTGGCTTGACTGATCAATATTGATTAAGGCCCCCAGGGCACACGTGATGTGCTAATCAGAGAACGGGCAGAACCCAGTCATTCAACTGGCAGATGAGTTAGCTCACTAAATTTCCATATCCCTTGTTTCCCCTCAATTCCTTTCCTCTCTTCCTCTAATAGTAGCTCGGATTTGCATAGTAGTTAAAGGTTTGCGAAGCAGCATTGCATGTTACTTCATTGCTGCTCACAACAACCCTGTAAGGTGGGAGCTATTACTATGCCAATCTTCTAGCTGAGCAAACTGAGGCATAGTGTGACTTGTCTAGGGCAACACAGTCAGTGAGGGAGGCAGGATTTGAACTCAGGTCATCTTGACTCCAGTTCCAACACTCTATCCACCTAGCTGTCTCTTTTTTCTCCCTTTTGGTCTTTTCATTGCTTGTGAGAGCATACCTAAGCCTGGAGTGCTTAAGCTTCTGGGAGAGGAGCTGTTCCCCATCCCATCCTACCCCAAATCTGGTCCTGTCTACTGTCCTAGTCCCATCTACCCTTTGTTTGGCCTATTTTCTTGACTACCAGTTCCTCTAGGACTAGTCTTCTGAGGAGTAGGGGATCATAGCATCCTAGGTTTAGATCTGGAAGGGGCCATAGAGGCCCCTTGTTTTACTGGGAAGGAAGCTGAGGCCCAGAGGGATTGATTGCCCCAACATCACATAAGTAATACGTTTATAGAATCATAGATCTTGAGATGGATGAGACCTGGGAGATCTTTTAATCTACCCCCCACCCATTTAACAGAGGAGAAAACTGAGGCCTGTGGGGAAATGACTTGTCCAAAGTCATACAAGCAGCAAATGGCATAGCCAGCAATCGAACCCAGATCCTTTGACTTTAGAACCAGTGCCACCATGATGCCACATCCTGGCCCTCATTACTGCCTCTCTGTTATTTGCCGCTAGCCTCCTCTGGCAACAGCTTCTTGGAAACAATTTCCCAGACCTCCTTCTAGTGCCCACTCCTGGGACCTTTCCTGACTGTTTGTTTCCTAATCCCAGTCATCTCTAATGCCCTAATACCAACCAAGTAGACATCCTGGCTCAGCATTTTACCCATTTTTCCTCCTCGACTCTAATCTTGATCTCTGTGCGCTGCTGGGCCAGTATGTCTTGGCTTGGTCTAGAGTAGGGCCACAACTAATGTTGAAAGGGATTTTTAGAGGCCATCTAATCCAACACTCTCCTTTTCCACATGGGGAAACTGAGGCCGAGCTAGGTTATATGACTTGCCCAATGTTACGTAAAAGTCAGAGGTGAGGTCTGAACCCAGGTCCTCTGACTCCAGAGCCAGTGATGGTCTTTCCGCTGTGCTGTGCAGTCAATCAATGGACATTTATCAGCTGCCTGTTATATTATGCCAGGTATTGGGCTAAGCACTGGGGATATAAATATGAAAAACAATAAAGAGTCCCTACCTTCAAGGAGCTTTCAGTCTAGCTGGGGAAATAACATACAAACAACTTTGTACAAACAAGTTATAGACATGATAAATTGGAGATAAGTATCAGAAGGAAGGCGCTAGAGTTAAGGGGATTGGGATAGGCTTCCTGCAGAAGGCGGGACTGGCAGCGAGCAGGGAGAGCTTTCCAAACGTGGGGAAGAGCCAGTGCGAAGTCATGGAGTAGGGAAATGGAGTGCCACGTTCGAGGAACCCCAAGAAGACTAGGAACAGAGCTATGATTTAAACTTCAGTCCTTTGACCTGAAATCTGGTTTTGTTATGCCAAACATATTCCTCAATTCTTAATGCTATAATGTTTCATTAAGTGACTTCTGACTATACCTATCTCAAAACATCATGTTCTGTTTCTGGGGCCATCCTTCACATTGCCTGTGCGCAGTACAGTGCCTGGCACATAGTAAGCTCTTTATAAATGCTGGATGACTGACTTATAGATTCATGATAGCTTGGCCTAGGGAATCTTCCCCTAAGCAGCCCCTTATTTGGGGTGGCACTGTTTGAAGACAGAAAGCCAAGATGTGTCATCTGGA